TGCACAAGTGTTCATAGCACCATTATTCACAATAGCCAGAAGGTGGAAACAACTCACGTGTCCCGCGATGGATGGACAGATAGACCAAATGTGGAACCTATGTACAACAGAATACTATTGATCCTTAAAAAGGAATGAAAATCCTGAGACATGCTACCACATGGGTGAAACTCGGAAATGGTATGCTAAGTAAAATAAGGCAGGCCCAAATGGACAAATACTGTGTGATATCACTTAGCTGTGGTACTTAAAATAGTCAAATACATGAAGACAGAAAGTGGGAGGAGGGTGATTACCAGGGAGTGGGAAGAGGGAGACTGGGAGGTGTCTGATGGGGACAGAGTTTCAGTTTGGGAAGATTGACACGTTCTGGAGACGGATGGTGGTGCTGATTGCCCAACACTGTGACTGTATTTAATGCCACTGAACTATATACACTCAGAAATGTTAAAATGGTAAACTTTATATTATGTATTTTTTAACCACACATGCACACAAAAGGCACATAGGGATCTGCAGGGTCAGACCAGATGGCCGGGATGAAAGGATACTGACACCAGATGAAATGTAATGGAATCTGATCTCGACAAGAACTGTGAATGATTTGGAAGGCTTTATGCTGGGTCTCACTTCGAGATGTAGTAGGTCTGACTGGGACTGAAGAATTTGCATTTCTAAGGAATTCCCAGGTGTGTTTGTTATTTATTGCTGCATGACAAATTACCCCATATCGTAGTGGCTTCTTTTAAGAACATACATATATGTTCACATAATTTCTGTGGCCCAGAGTCTAAGATTGGTGGCTCTGGCTCAGGATCTCTCTTGAGGTGGTAATCAAGCTGTTGGTTGGGGACTGAAGTCATATGAAGACTTGGCTGGAGGACCCAGTTTTAGGATGGCTCACTCCCACCTCTCTTAGCAAGAGACTTTTGTGCCTCCCTAGGCAGATCTCTCCAGATGGCTGTCTCACCACACAGCATCTGAATTCTCCCCAGAGTGGGTGCTTCAAAAGACAGAGAGCAAGCAGGAAGACAGCTTTTGTGACTGGTATCCAAAGTCTATCCTTCAGAGACAGGTCATTAAATCCAGCTCATATTCAAAAGGAAGGACTTCACCCTTTAAAAGGAGGCATACCGGGGCACCTGGGTGGCTCAGTCAGTTAAGCTTCTGCCTTTGGCTTGGGTCATGATCCCGGGGTCCTGGGATCGAGTCCTGCATCAGTCTCCCTGCTCAGTGGGGACTCTGTTTCTCCCTCTGCCCCTCCTCTCACTCATACTCCCTCTTGTGCATGCCCTCTCTCTCAAATAAATAAAATCTTCTCTTAAAAAAAAAAAAAAGGAGGAGTACCAAAAGTTGTAGACATTTTTAAAAAACAATACACTGGGTATATTCCTGGGGCTGCTGTAAGAAAGTGCCATAAAATTGGTGTCTTAAGCAACAGAAATTTATTGTCTCACAATTCTGGAGGCTGGAAGTCTGAGACTTCCTAAAATATTATCATATTGGATTAGGACCCACGGCAATGACCTCTTTTCTACCTGGTTACCTCTGGAACAACCCTTATTTCCAAAAAAGTTCATGTTATGAGGTACTGGGTGTTAGGACTTCATCATCTTCTGAATTGGATGCAATTTAACACACAATATAATTAGGAATGCCGAGGTTCCTGCTCTGGGGACCATACTTTTGAGAACCACTGATCTCATCCACCCCTCGGTTACACTAATGAGAAATGTAGGTTTTCCATAAGCTAAACGAACCACCGAGTGTCAAAGAGTTTGTGGCAGAGTTCAGACGATAACACATATTTCTTGATCCAAATTCAGTGCACTTTCCATGAACCATGGAGTGTTTGGTCATCTTTGACCCAAAGTTCTCTGAAGAGCTCAGTTATCTGTGGACCCATGAAGACTTTGTGCTTTTTCTAGGCTAAGTTTTTTCACACTGATTCACAAAACTCTAGTTCCAGGAATCTTTTAAAAGGTGTGTGTGTGTGTGTGTGTGCATGTGTGTGTGTACGATTTTCCTGGAAATGACATCATTCTTCATTAAGCAATCTACACAGGGAAGGGGAAGAAAGAGATGAAGAAGGGATAATGAAGGAGAGAAAAGTAAGGAAATGGGATATGAGAAACACAGGAAAAAGAAATAACAATTGGTACCAATTTACACTCCCGCCATAGCCTGCCACATCTCCTGGTGTGAGTCACGGCGGGAGGTGAGATGAAATCAGCTCTACCTGTTATGTGTATCTATATTTTTAGAAATTCAAGGATAAAATGAACACCTGTAAGTCCACCAGTCATCTAAAGACAAAGAACATTAGCAGGAACACTGACACTTCTGTGTGCCCTGCTCACGGCATTCTCTCCCTCCTTCCTGGGTTATTTACTATTCCGAAGTGGGCGTTGATCATGCTCTTGCTTTTCTTTGTGGTTTTACTACAGATAGGGATAGACCCTTAAACAATATCTTGCTTCAATTTACATGGTTTTGAACTTTATGTAAATAGAATCAGACTAGGTAAGCATATGTGAATTATTTTTTTTTCCTCTACCTGGTGAAACCCATCCATATTGTGTGGTTGTGGTTCATTCATTGTCATTGACATCCATCCATCCTCTGATCAATAAATGGTTACTTTTGCTGTTACAAAGAAAAACTCCCACAAAAGAATGTTATGAATATTCTTATGTTTATGCACTGATGTGTGTCTGCTCCTTGGTGACTTAGCCACAGAGACTACACCAGGTGGAGCTGCCTGAGATCACGTGAATCTTTCCAAAGCTATGTCTCCCAGAGCAGGGATAAGGAGGTTCATTTTATTAGGGTTTGGGATGGATATTTAGAGGGGAAGGTTTCATCATCACATGCAATGGTCAGGCATAGAGTTACACATTTCCACTCAGAAAACATGTCTATACATATGTTGTATATTATGCTAATGAGGCTATGTTCCTCTCAGGGTGGGGATTTTAACATTATAATGAAACTCAGATACTTCATGATTCATCTGTCCAGGTGTCTGTTCTGGGGGGAGGGTCATATTCAAAGGTTTTTTTTTTTTTCCTTGTTCCAACCATTTGTTACTTTCTAAAAGATAAAAATTTACAGTTAATCAGAGCTTCTAGAAGTTTCCTGAGTTCAGGGGTCTCGCTGATGACATAGATACACATCTTCTGGTATACTGCCCAAGAATTTATGATAATACAGGCTATATACCTAAGACTGTAATTGATGGATTGTAGGGTGTACTCCTTTTAACATCATTGATTGGTTGGTTGATTTCAGGAGGGTTGTACTCCCACCAGAAACTTCTACAAGTTATCGCTACCTCACATCTCAGCAGCACTTGTTAGTTCATTTTGACTATAAGCTGACTTTAGAACCAAACCCTCACATTAGATGTGATTCCACCATATTGGACCTTGGGGACTTTATGATCCTTGTGCCTAGGATGCCTGATGCCACTGACATAAGAGGTGTTCAAAAATGAGAGGAAACTTAAATGAATCTAAGCTTTAGCTGAGTGGTAAAACTACAGTTTTGGTTTTTTTTTTTTTTTTACATATTTTAAAAGTTTACCAGCATGTTCCTGATTCCAGTCTTTTTTTCTGACTCCAAATTATGTACCTAATGTCAACCTATAATGGTTTATTTGTTCTAAACTCAAAGGCTACACGGGAAATTTCATGCAGCAGTCTAAGTGTTGCCCCTAGAGGCAGGAAATGTATTACATTCACTTTACTGTAATCTAATGAAAGATTGTAACATGGATTTTAGAAAAAAAAGAAAAGAAAAGAAAAGAAAAGAAAAGAAAAAAACCCCTACAATCCCTCACCTTAATTTCCGAACTTACATGTTCCAGAATGTCATTTTTTAAAAGAAATTGTAAAAATTCTGCTTTCACATATTTATTTGTTTTCTATTTAATTAAATACCCACAACTAAGTTAAAAACCTTTTTTGTGACAATGTGTGGGAACTGCTGTCTAAGGGCATCTATTTGAATGAGCTATGAAGTTTTTTGGTTCCCAAATTTGTGAACCTCTGCCAATTTCTGACGAAAGTTTTACTAGTCTAAAATGTAGTAACAGAACAAGAGTGAGTTTTCAATACCTCAAAATACATTCCATTTAAAAGAACACTGTTTTTTTTTCTGAGATTATGTCATTTCTACCTTTTTAATGACTAAATGTGTTTTAAGAAATGATGGTGTATGTATTTGCTTGACAACTTTGTGTGTTTGTGTTGTAATTTTACTGATCCTTCCATTCTAAATGTTTGGAAATCCTTTCAGAGCGGCTTACTGCATCATTTAAAAATGTATTTTGTAGAAAACACCCTGGGAGTTACTCTCAACGGCCCACAAGTCTCTGAAAGCAAGGTATACTCATTTTTATTCCATGACGGTGCATTTAATTCCGATTGGGTTTCAAGTGAGGCTTAGCGCTGACGCTGGGGAAAGGCGCGTCAACATGGCTAAGGCCGTTTCGTCCTCATCTGTGAATGGTTTAGCCTGCGCGTTATACAGTTCAACAATAGAAGTGTGAGCGCCATGGAAAGTAGAGTGGTTTAGCAGTTCTGGAGGCAGGTGGAGACCCTGGACCCGGAAAATGTGGAAAGGTAGAGAGAAGGGGAAACCCATAGTAGAAAGACATATATAGCAGCCAAGGCTTGGAGTTCATTCTTGCGTGAGCAAGAGAGCCGGCTCGAGGTGCAGCCCCAGGCAAGGGAAGGAAGGGCTGGTTGAAGAGCCACGTGAAAGTCGTACCGAGACTTCAACAACCAGAGAATCCAGCAGCCGCAGGAGAGGAAAGAGGCCAAGCCCTTCAGTTTAGGACTACAACGAACAAGGGGGTGGAGCCGGACACGCCCTGAGGGCTCACACACCCAACCAGCGACGAGCCGCTCCGGCCCGCAGAACACGCCCCCTGTCTCTTCCCGACAGCCCCCGGAACCTAGCTCCCACCCGCGCCTGCGCAGGCTTTATCAAGTCCTGCCCCTTTGCCCGGCCTCCGGGCTCTCCCGTAGCCAATATGGCGGCTCCCTGTGTGTCCTGCGGCGCCGCAGCTTTTTACCGGCTCTTTCTCGGAGGTAGGGTTAGCCTCACCCGGAGACAAGGCGTTTGGAAAGCCGCGGCTGCTGAGTTGCAGACAGGTACTGGATTCCAGGTAAGGGAGAAGCACTGGTCCGTGTAGCGCAAAGATGTGGAGACGCGGCCGCAACCTTCCCCTGGCGTCTCACGTGCCCTCAGACGGGGACTTAGGGGTCTGGGGTATTTAGTAGAGGTCTGAGATTGAGAGAGGAAGAATGGGTATTGGTTTGCAGCGGCCAGTCGAGGTTGTTTCTGGTTTTCGTAGGGTGCGGTGAGGAAGTTGTCTGCAGACGGAACTAGAGCGACCCCTCTTCCTTGAGTTGGCTGCCAAGCTAAGGGGAGTCCGTGCCTTAGGTGTGGTGTAGGGTCGGGTCCTTCCGGCTTGCCCGCGGTCAAGTGGGGAGGAGGGCCGCGCCAGGGAAGGTAAATGAGAACTGGACTCCTGCAGTAGGCTGGAAGACTTACTGGAGAAAGTCACAGTGGATAAGATTGACAGTGATTTTAAAAGTGCCTTGCATCTGTGCAGTTTCTGTTTTCTTAATTTTCCCCCAACATCTTGTCTCTGGAGAGATGGAGACCAGAACTTTCACATTTCCTTTACTTCTGAGGGCAGTGAGAAGCCAAGATTTTAGCTTCACGGAACTCAGTTGGATGATGGTGCCATTTGCTGACATGGGATCTCAAAAGGAGGGAAAAGTTTTGAGAGGGAAGAAAACGAGTTTAGTTTTGGATGTAATTATGTTTATTATACAGTTTTAATTGGGATGTCCAAGTGGAGATTTCCAGTAGGCCCAAAGATTGACAAATTATAGTTCAAGAAGAGATCTGATTTACAAATCCTCCGTTAACTTGTAGATAGTAATCAAGGCCTTGGAAGTGAAGTCAAACACCTAGTGAACGTGTCCTGAGTTGTTATAAGTAGAGGGACAGGTCCTGAAGGACAGCAGTCAAGAAAGAACATCCTAAAGATTGAGAGTGAACTGCTAAAGAAGTAGGGTGGAGACCAGACAGTGTGATGTTCTGAAAACAGGCGAATGTTTTAAGTAGGGAATGTGATAAACAAGTACCAAATATTGTAAAGAAGTCAAATATTATATAAAAACTGTTGAAAAAAGGAATGCTATGTATTTTTTATTATCTTTCTTTTATATTTTAATCTAAATCAACCAGTCCATCTATTCATTTATCCACCACTTATTTTTTAATACCTTAAAAAAAGATTTTATTTATTTGAAAGAGAGCATGAGCATGGGAAGACACAGGCAGAGGGAGAGGGAGAAGCAGAAGCAGACTCCCTGCTCAGCCGTGGAGCCCTACTTGGGCCTCCATCCCAGGATCTGAGATCATGACCTGGGCCAAAACCAAGAGTTGGATGCTTAACCGACTGAGCCACCCAGGCACCTCTTAATACTTTATTATTGGAAAATATGTTGAAACTTTCATTTTTTCATGCATCTCTTTTGAATATATTTTCCTTGCATATGCTTAGCTATAAACGGGGCTGTAGCATATAGAATGTTTTCATTGCTGACACTTTATGTGTGTATGTGTGGGGTGGGAGGGGTGCTAGCTTTCTTTCCCTCCCTCAGACTCCAGAATCTGTGTATCCTCTGTCTTTCTCTATGATCCTTTTTATCATATGCATACCTACGTGTCAGTAGTAATGGTTGATGGCCATTTATTTTGTTTCCATTTTCTTACCATTAATATGTTAACATTCTGTAATAATTCTTAGGTACTATTCCTTTTATTTGTGTAGAAGAGCATTCCAGTTGGGAGTTTATTGTTGCAAAGTATGTGTACATCTTACATTTGAATAGATATTTCCACATAGCTTTCCAGGAAGGCAGTAGCAATCCACACTCCATCATTGATATATGAGCGTACCCCCTTTTCTACTGGCATTAGTTAATTTTTTCAGTAAGATGGGTGAACAGCGATTTCTCCTTGCTACTTAAATTTTCATCTCCTTGACTGAAATAAAGCTTTTTTTCCCTTCCATATGGTAAATGTTTACTGAGCACTTTACTTGAGCCAGGCACTGTGAAGTAAATAAATCTTTATCAAATAATTAGCAGACAGTATTGACCCTTAGCACTCTCCAGGGATGATCCCGAGACTGCTGAATCCCCAAATTCCTTTGTAGTGTCACAGCTTATATTTTACCACAAGAAGCGCATCTCACGTATAACTGAAGGACTTAGCTGACCCCACTCAGACCCTTACTATTACCATATATGTGATTAAAGATATTCATAAAAGTTTTTTGTTTTTTATTTTTGGCACAGAGCTTGTCTGTCTTAAATATTAATACTCCTTCACTTCTATATCTAACATTAATAGTATATTTTTCTTGGGCTACCTGGGTGGCTCTGTCGGTTGGACATCCAACTTGATTTGGGCTTAAGTCAAGATCTCAGGGTCATGGATCAAGCGGGGGGCGGGGTGGAGCCTGTTTAGTGCTCTCTCTCCCTCTCTCGCTCTGCCCCCCACTCCTGCGCACACACAAACATGCTCTCTTTCTCACTCAGGAAAAGAAAAACATAGTTACATTTTTCTTAGGGGCCATATTTCTAAAACTATGGAATAATAATAATCAAATACATTTCATAGGTTATTTTTGCATTTTTTTATATGTATAAGTGTGTCCTAGGTAGTGATCTAAATAGTAGTTATTACTGTGGGTCACTGTCAAAAAAGTGAGAAACACTGATGCCATCTGGAAAAAGAAACAAGTTCCATTAAACTATGACTCCTGTGTGCTTAGTTGGGACCCTCACTAGCAGACTTCCTCTTGTGTACCCATCTTGTATACATGCTTTGTATTAATGCCACTACAATTGCAAATATCTAAGTGAACCAAATTTGGGATGGAGGAAGGAATCTTATTTGTGAATGGTGAAACTTCAGGTTATAAACCCCTGAATATCAGGGACCTACACACAGTTTACCATAAAGTTTTGCAGAGGTAAGTACAGAAGAGCACAGAAGTGCAGTACCTAGTGCAAATGAGTTGAAATGGGTAGAGTTATGGGCAGTGTCTCAAAGGAGATGTTACAGTCTTCAGGAGCAGTTAGGAGTTCCATGAAAAAAGAGAGGTGTTCTGTTCTATGATGATGTTAATAGGTACAGAAGGGACAGAGACCTACAGAGTCAGTGGATCTAGCAGCAACAACTAATTGGTTATAGCAGTTATAATTGGTATAATAATTGGTACAAGAATGGTGAGAGATATGAAACTTTGGCAAGGCCCAGATTATGATCTTTTTTGCTATACTAAGGTGCTTGGGCTTTTTGTTTTGTTTTTTGTCTTAAACTAGTGAGAGCCACACTGGCATTATAAGCAGGCTACCCATGGATTCCCAAATCCTCTGTCAATATAATGTAAGAATGTTAATTTAGCTTTCTGAAATATTTATGACTTTTTAAAAAAGATTTGTTTATTTTACATATAGAGGGAGAGTGTGTGTGAGCATGAGGCAGGTAGGTCAGAGGAAGAGGAAGAGAGAATCCTCAAGTAGATTCCCAGCCCCCCACTAAGCACGGAGCCCAACCTGGGGCTCCATCTCAGGACCCTGAGTTCATAACCTGAGCGAAACCAAGAGTGGGATGCTTAACTGACTGAGCCACCCAGGTGCCCTTGATTTTTTTTTTTTTTTTAAGATTTTATTTTTAAGTAATCTCTGCACCCAGCATGGGGCTTGAACTTACATCCCAGAGATCAAGAGTTGCATGCTCTTGACTGAGCCAGCTAGGCACCCCTTTGACTTTTATAATAAGGAAAACCAGTAGACCAGTTTCCTGTTTTGAAAGCTAGTATTATCAGTTATCAATGATACATCCTTTTAATTTTATTTTCTACCAGACACTTAGTGCTTAAACTTTCCGTGTTCACTGGGTCAATACCCGCACCCCCCCCTTGTTGAATCGGACTGTCTGCCAAGGAATGATCAGTGACATTTGGTGGCTTAGCCCTTGTGTATTTTGATTTTATAGTAAAAACATTGTTCTTGTCTTAAGTATCTGTTCTTTCCTTCTCTCATCTTATGGGCGCCTAGAGATTATAATGTCCTGTATTTATCATAGCATATAGCTGGTTTATGATAGGGTCTTAATAAAGTTTACTGATAAATTGCTTAAAAACTCTTTGAAATTAAAAAATTGACTTCCATTTGTATCAAATGCTGTCTGCAGCTCTGTAAATTGGTTATGTTTTCCCCTAGGTAACTTTTGAATTTCTTAAAAATCCCATTTTATTAGCAATGGATATTAAAACCCCTTTGATGGGATAAGAGGTTTTTTTTTTTTTAAGATTTTTTATTTTATTTTATTTATTTGACAGACAGAGATCACAAGTAGGCAGAGAGGCAGGCACAGAGAGAGAGAGGAGGAAGCAGGCTCCCTGCCTAGAAGAGAGCCCAATGCGGGGCTCGATCCCAGGACCCTGGGATCATGACCTGAGCTGAAGGCAGAGGCTTTAACCCACTGAGCCACCCAGGTGCCCCAAGGGGTTTTTTTTTGTTTGTTTGTTTTTTGTTTTTTTTGAGATCTCATCCTGTCCTTTTAAGGATAGAGTTAATGTACTAAATCTACTTGTATTATGCTTCATTGTTGTAAGTAGGATGATGAATTAATTAGTTACTTATTTCTGCCTAACAAGTTACCCCCAAATTCTGCACCTTATAAACAGCAGACATTTGTTATTTCATGGTTTCTATGGGTCAGGATTGCAGGCACAGCTTTGCCGGGTTTTCCTTCCGGGTCACCCATAACATAGCATTCCAGGTGTTGGCTGTGGCTCCAATTGTCTCAAGGCTGGAGGGTGGAAATCTTCCTCCCAGTTTGTTCATTGTGGGTGTTAGCGGGATTCATATCCTACAGGCTGTTGGATGGGCTGTTGGCTGGAGGCCACCCTCAGTTCTTGTAATGTGGGTCTCTGTAGTACAGCATACCACATCTGGCTTCCATCAGGTTGATCAGGACAGGGAAGAAAAAGAGGGAGCACAGTCTTTTTGTTACATAATCTTAAAGGTGACATTCTGTCACTTTAGTAATATTCTGGTCATTAGAAAGAGG